TTCCTGCTTTCCCTTTCACCTCCCTGCATTGTGCCTACATATGCAACTTAACCACCATCTTGTTGGCAGTTAACTGCCAATCTTAGTTGGCGGTTAATTTGCATATAGCCCTGATTAGCCAATGAAAAGGGTAGCGTCGTTCACCAATTACCATTTTTCTCTTTTATTAGTGTAGATTACTATTTGCCTATTGTTATAATACATTTCTAAGGCTTACCGTAATTTGGTATTTTCAAAATCTTTGATTTTTAACTCAGTGATTTCTTTTTGTCTCTCCAATTCTTGAGACACTTTTTTTAGTTTTATCAAAAGTGAAGCAAGAGAGTCATCTTGTTCTGCTACTGTCTGTTCCATCTCAGCCAAACGAATAAAATGCTTGTTGGTAGGAACTGGAGTAGGAGACTGTTTTAGTAAATCCTATGAAATGTGAATAAATTAGCTATAAACATGTATAATTCAATGCAATGCTTATTCCATAATTTTAATGCATTCTTCAAATAATCAAAAATAATATCTAATCTAAAATTTAATAAGCAATGAAAGCTTAAAGAAAACAGTTAATAGAGATCAGGTTCTTTGTATTCCCAGTATCTAGCGAAATCCCTACATGTAGTAATGTATCAAGAAATGTGTTTTGAATTAATGAGTTAAGGCTCAAGGATGATAAGGTTTGCATATTAGGAGATGAAAGGTCATTTCACACATACAGAAAACAAGATCAGCACCAAGTACAAGCTGAATTCAGAACATGAAAATCAGTTATAATGAGCAAAATTTGAAAACAAAAACAAAAACTGAGGTCAGATCATGGAAGGCTTTTAGTACATGGCTACAGAATTTAAACAAGATTTTATAAGCATCAGTCTAGGGAGAAGAATGATCAGAGTTGTGTTTTCATAAGATTATTCTGGCAAAAAATAAAAAATAGGGTGGCTTCTATTCCCTCACCTACCAAAAAAAGAGAGCTAAATTTTCAAGTATACGATCTCAAAAATCTGTAAAGAATAGAACAAAGTTCTGAGACTCTTACCCACGCTGTTTGTTTGAATTTATTGAGTGAACTATCAGCTTGTAGTTCTAATTTATGATGAAGAATATGAAGATCTTCTTCATGTTTCTTAACAATTTCTCTTTGCTCCTGTTTTATAGAAAATCAAAACTATATCTTAAATAGTGATTTAAATAAATTCACATTAGAATCTTAAATATCTGTTATCTTTAATCTTCCAAAATCCCTGAGACAGGGAAAGAACAATATCTGCATGCATATATTTACACCAGTATGCATTTTCACTAGTACGCACTTCAAGTTGACAAGTCTGGCCTTAGATCATAATTTAATCTTAATATTAGAATAATATGTACCTATCATCTTTTAACTTGTTTCTAGAAAAAATTTTTACATTTTAAATGCAGATTTCCCCTGTCCACCACCACCGAAGTTCTAGCAAATCTGATTTCACTTATTACTACTAGTGAGACAGATTTCTAACTTTCTGACCTATAAACTCAACTGGTATTTTTCAATATCATAAACTCAGCTGGTATTTTTCATTATCATGGTTTCTCTGTGACAGCTATTCCTGATTTAGTCAATCCATATGGGAAGGATTCACATATATACACTGCCAGTTTTTCTGACAGATCTGTAATCTAATCACATGAAAGTGATAATTCCTAAATAGAATCATTTGAAAGGCAAGAAATGCACTACCACTTCAGGGCAGAATAATATTTGCATTAAATGGGTAGGTAGGTAGGTAGGTAGGTAGGTAGATAGATTAAACAAACAAACAAACAAATAAATTACCTCTCTGGCTTTTTCCAGAAGACGCTGATACTTCTTTAACATGTCTTCCTTCTGATTCAGCCTTGCTTGCATGTTTGCAATAGTCTGCTGAGCAATTTTCAATGTGTGATAGAACTGTGGTTCTACCTCCTTTCTGCCTAGTTCAGCTATAAGCTTTTCTCGTTCTGCGGTGGCAGGTAAACGAAGCCTGAGTTCATTGATTACTTTGTCTCTTGACAAAATATTTTGCTCTGCTAACCGTAAAGCAGATTCTTTTTCTTTTAGCTTCTGCAATGATCAAATCATATTATTAAAGTATATTTTTTCTTTTAAAATGCTTCATCTGAATATTAAATTAGTTACAAGTTTGGAGAGGAGTTTCCCTTTATTTTTCACAACATACTTAAAATAGCCAAAAGATATTAATAAAGTTAAACTGATATTTTTATGTGACAGCTTAGTTATCTGGATGCATATTTTATTTGTAAGACTATTGCATGTGTTAAGAAACAATTATTATGAAAATGAAATTTAAGGTACTTTATTTAGATGTTATAGTTTTAGAATTAGAAATGTGAGGTGGTGCTAAATTTGGAAAAAAACTGTAATAAATTGTTCCTCTTACTTCAGCCCATTGACTATCAAAGCACTATAAGAGTAATTCATAAATCAGCTGGGTATAAAAATTGGAACTTTACTGGCTCAAGTCAATAAATCTCTATTATAAAATCTGTGGATTATGAAAACAAAATAGAAAAAAAAACTGTTGCCTATTCAATAGGATTAAGGCAGATCTTTTAAATGCAGTAACTCAATGAAAATTTACATAAATGATAAATCTTACAATTACTGAAGAAAATCTAAGTGTCCTAAATCAACTAAAAATATACAATTTTACTAGCAAAATTATTTTTACATGTATTTACAATTAATAGATTTAGATGTAAACTAAGATGAAAATCATATTCAGTTTAAATTACTTTCCATATAATTAAATAAAGAAGATATTTGATCCTCTTAATCAAGTTGTAGTCCTAGATGAGTGGTTCTCAACCTTCCTAATGCCGCGACCCTTTAATACAGTTCATGTTGTGGTGACCCCCAACCATAAAATTATTTTCGTTGCTACTTCATAACTGTAATTTTGCTACTGTTATGAATCGTAATGTAAATATCTGATATGCAGGATGTATTTTCATTGTTACAAATTGAACATAATTAAAGCATAGTGATTAATCACAAAAACAATATGTAATTATATATGTATTTTCCAATGGTCTTAGGCGACCCCTGTGAAAGGGTCGTTCAACCCCCAAAGGGTTCGCGGCCCACAGGTTGAGAACCACTGGCCTAGATTAAAGAAACAAGTACTAATTTCTAGCTCTCCTTCAAACCCTTTAACCACCCACAAAAGGAATTAACTGAAACTGATTCAGAGTATACAACATATACTTCAAATAAACAAGGCTGAAAACAATTCTTGATCATACAAAAGAAGGTAATATATTGCTCATAAAACTACAATCAAATGTTCTTTTTGTTTCACTACAATTATTAGTGTGCCCCAAAGTAACAAGTAGTAATTAAATGAATAATTAATTCTAATTAGCCATATCTGTTTTTCTTTATTGCCTATTACAAGCATTATGGGAGAGTAGAAAAGGAGGGTAGAACTAGCAACAGATTCATCATTCTATACATCGTCCTCATTAAAATATATTACGCATTTAAAAAATTCTACATACCCAATAATATACTAATCAAAATGCAAATTTTTCTAATTACCTCCTCTAGTGATTTACAAGTTGCTCGTGTTTCTAGAATTATTCGAACATTCTCCTTAATTTTTCTTAGAGCAATCTCAAGTTGATTTGGAAGGGGCAAGCTCGGGTCTGGCATTGATCCTATAACATCTTCAAACTATTAAAAATAGCATTAAAAAAAACAGTTGTAGCATTAAAGGAAAGAACATTAATTTTTACAACTATATGACAAGACATGGTTAAAGCCCACTTATATTTGAAATATAAAAAGATAGCAAGTTAAAATTCCATCTCTGACATTAAAAAACATTACTACGGCTAACATTATAGGCCATGCTTCAGAGTAGCAAATAGAATTAATCACTCAGACCTTTTGTGCTGCATTTAGTATTTCATTTTGCTGACGGTCAAAAATGTCTAGTTGACGTTCCAGCTCAACTTCTCTTTGATCCCAGGCCATTTCCCTTTCTTCATGAAACTGAAAAAAGATATTTTGCATCAGACATACATAGAAACACTCACCAAGCAAACAACAGAAATTTTTACATACATTTTCTTATTTAATTCTCACAACAACCCTTTGAGGTCACTACTATTATTTTATGAGGAAAGGAAGTAAACTCAAGAGAGGTAAAGTATCTTTCCATCAAAGAGATAGGCAGATATGGAGTAAAGATTTTAATCCATCCATGCATTCATCTATTCATCCATCTATCCACCTATCTATCCAAAATATAGTTAATGACATGTACTATATGACAATCACTATTGTAGGCGATGCAAGCATAACAGTAAACAAAGCCAAGTCCCACAGCCCCTCACCCCAGCTGGCCCTGCCTCTGATCGGCCTCTCCCACCTCCATGGAGGGCAGGGCGCTGACCAACCCCACATGGCCCCTTCCCCTCAACCAGCCCCACTTCCAATCAGCCTGCAGCCCCTTCCCATGGCCAGCCCCGCCCACCCCATTCTGGGGTGGGTCTGGCCGGCCAACCTCCTGCAGCCCCTCTCCCCCACCCGGCCACACCCCAGATTGGCCCCTGACTCCAAACAGGGTCAGGGCTGGATGGCCAACCACCCATGGCCCCTCCCCCAGGCCACTGGCCCCAACTGGGACCAGGCCAGCTGAAACCAACCCCTCCCGCCCCTCCCCCCCCACAGCTCGTGCATGAATTAATGTACTAGGCTTCTAGTTTCATAGTTTCAACGTAAATAAATATGCATTTGTATAATGGTTTAGAAAACAGAAATTGGAATATTTTATACTATAATAATGGAAGCTAAATTCAAGTAAGAAAGTGATGTAGTCACTTACACAATGTTCTTTATATATACATATATATGTGTGTGTATATATATATATATATATATGTATATATATTATTGATTGTTTTACAGAGAGGAAGGGAGAGGGATAGAGAGTTAAGAAACATCAATGAGAGAGAAACATCGATCAGCTGCCTCCTGCACACTCCCCACTGGGGATGTGCCCGAAACCAAGGTACATGCCCTTGACCGGAATTGAACCTGGGACCCTTGAGTCCGCAGGCTGATGCTCTATCCACTGAGCCAAACCAGTTAGGTTTGTTCTTATGTTTAAAATCTTAGCAACAGCCCAGCTGGTATTGCTTAGTGGTTGAGCATCGACCTATGAATTAGGAGGCCATGGTTGGATTCCCGGTCAGAGCACACGCCCAGGGTTGTTGGAGGCAGCCAATTCTCGCTCATCATTGATGTTTCTATCTCTCCCTTCCTCTCTGAAATCAATAAAAAAATATTTTAAAAAAGAAAATCTTAGCAACAAAACATCAAAATAAATATAAAATGAAACCTTGTTCTGCTGTACAATTTCTTCCTCCAGACTGCTGATTGTATGCTCATATTCAGAAATTATATTATTCAAATATTTTATTTCTTCTTTATCCTTGACTAATTCTCGATTTAATTTAAGCTCTTGAAGACGGAGTTCTTCTATTTTCATATGCCAACTGATTACCTAAAGATTTATACATTATACATACAAATGTCAATGCTATATAAATATTTCTCCATATCCTAATGATTTTAATTCAAATTAATAAACACTATAATAAAATAAAATATAAAATTATTTTGGTGTCGCCCAAAAATGTATATAGACTTTAACAGCTGATAGCTCAATTTTGAAAATGAAATGTATTTTAATAAACAATGCCTTTATAATGATTCAAAGATTGTGTATACATTTTTCAGGCCACCCTATATTTCTAGCCTAGAGAATAAAGTTTAGTTGAAAGATAATTATTTTTCACTTAATTGCTTCAAAAAAAGGTTAAAACAAAATTATATTAAAAATACATGCAGGCCTACTACTTGTAAATTTTAAACAAATAATGATTACAAAGAGTAGAATTGAATTGATAAGCACTATAATGTTTAAAATTATAATTAGTATTTTATTAATATATAAACTTCTTAAGAGTATTTAAAATTCTGTTATTTTAAAACCTAAGTACTTCACTAAAACCACTGCTTAGATGAATCTCATTTAATTTTCACAAACAGACATTCAAATAGGCAAAACCCCTAATTTATAAATTCTAAATAAATTAAAATATACATTAAATGTTTCTCATATAGGTACATATTAAGAACTTAAAATCATGTAACTCTTCTGGAAATACTTAAGTTAAAAATCACTGTTTTACCTTTTGGGCTCCCCGGGCATCCTTTAAAGTGCTTACTAACTCTTCTAACCCCTTTAACTTTAATTCCATCTCCATTGTTTTGTTCTCCATATTTCTATGTTCTTGTAGAGAATTTTTCATTTCTTGCATTATCTTCAGTTTGTCATTTTGTAACTGAATCATTGTCTTAGAGAACTTCTCCTGCTGTGCCAAGGGCAAAGCTCCGCTGAACTGGCGTCGCAGGGACTGAATTGTTTGGCGCAGGTGTTTTGCTCTGTTTCTCCCCTCCAAACGGGCATAATAGAGAGCCTGTTCTTTTTCATCCAGTTTCTGTTCTAAACGCAAATTACAGGCCTCCATCTTCTGCAGTTTTGATGTGACCGACTCCAACTTACCAAGAGCAGTAACCTCACTAATTTGAAGAGAGACAAGGTGTTGGTGCAACTTGGCAATTAGTGCCTTTTCGTCCGACTGTGCCTAATATAAAAAATGCATATATTTGTTCCAAGTTTCAAGTTTTTCCTATGAAATTTATCATGAATTTAATATCAAAATTTACTAAACATTTAAAAGTGTGCTACATGAGATCCTATAAAAATCTAATCTTGCTTTAATACAAATTACCAAAAAATTAAAAAGCAAAAACAGCAGAAAAACAGAATCAAATATGCATAAAATCCAAATCTGGCAACTGGCTAAGTAACAGTTGGGATATTATGGTGGCTTTTTTTTTAACTTCCATATGTAAACTATAATACTGATGTGTACAGTGTTTTTCACTAATTATTAGTACTTGACAGATCAACTCAGGGACCTCACACATTTCCTTTTCTTTTTTATTAATTCTTAAAAAAACAATGTGAGAATATGTGAAAAGCTATAAGAGAAAATATTGTTATGAAAGGCTTACTATTTCTCTTCACTGTCTTAACTCTGATCAGCAGTCAGCACAATGCATTTATAGGAATTTAAATGCTTTTCTGTATTACGGTATTTCGCATTAAGTTGTAACCTAATCAGACTATAATTAACAAGAATATGAGCCTCCTTGATATATTCTTTAGTTAAAACTATAACATCATATAAGCATAACCAATGGACATAAGACACTGGGGGATAGGGGAGGCTAGGGGACTGTCTAGGGCGGGGGGAAAAAATGGACACATATGTAATACCCTTTGTAATACTTTAAGCAAAAAAAACAAAAACAAAAACTATAAAATCACCCCAATATCTAATGTGAATTTAGAAAAAAGAAAAAATCTATATGGAAGAGCCAACGCTGTGCATACCTGATAGTCTAACAGTTGCATTCTGATGGACTCTACTTCCTTTTCCCTGGACTGTTGTTGTACATTCAAAATTTCAACTTGCCTTTTGGCAATGTCAGAAATCTCTCTCAGTCTAGGAAGGAATATTTCAGAACAATTAGGTACATTTTTTAAGGAAATAAATACCAGGATTTCAAATTTTTAGAGCCTTGGAAAAGCCATTAGATTCCATCATCTCTTCTTCACATGAAATGCTAGAGCAAAGTTTCCTAAGTTGTTTCATGAAACGTAATGCCCTGAGAGGTTAACATATGTTTTATGGAAAAACTCCATTTTCAACACCCCTTCTTCCTTGAAAATTCATAGTACACAGTATCGTATTAAATGTTCTGAGAAGTTTTAAAGTGAAAATTATCTGAAACTATACATATATAGCATGTTCCAAATGTATGTGGCCAATAAAAGGGGGGCTTTATGGTAATTTATTATATTTCCTATATGACTACTATGAGAAGACTACACAGGTAAAGTAAAATGCATTTTACTGTAGACTGAAATAATTTTAGTTCCGTGTGACAGATAACTTAGGTTTCCTCATATTGATTACAAGTTCTTAATAACAGTTCTGTAAGTTTTGATTAATTAAAATATAATAATGAATTACAATATAATTAATTAAAATGAATAATATAAGTTTATTTCAAAGGTAAGGTGCATGAGATGAAAGGAAGAATTAAAAAGAAGTATTCTTCACAGTGAAAATGGTTAGAAATGACTGATATTCCCAAAAGGATATCAAAGCTCCAAAAAATGGCTGTAACTACATAAGGCCATAAAACCTTTTTCACTAATTATTTGTACTTGACAGATCAACTCAGGGATCCTTACACTTTTCTATTTATTTATTTATTTATTTATTTATTTAATCCTTACCCCAGGATATTTTTTCCATTGATTTTTTTTTTTTGATTTCTTATTTTGCCACATATTTGATAACAAAATTGTATAGGTTTCAGGTGTACGATTATGTAAGACATCATCTGTATGTTGTATTGTGTGTTCACCACTCCAACTGGGATCCTCACACTTTTCCACTGAAGTAACGCATGATTACAAAGGAGAGTGACTACATAGCATCTACCTGGCACAGAGTATTTACACTTTACATGTATTTTGTGTTCTAAGCAAATAAACTCTTTCCACACATAAAATGAAAATAACAATGTTACTTCAGGGTTAGTAAGTGTAATTGTATGAGTTAACATCTGTTCAATACCTAGCACAGTATACATAGTAGGTACCCAAAATGGAACCAAAATCTGAAATGTTTTATTATATTTTTACAGTAACCTTCTATACAGATAAAAGACATACTATTTCTTCCTTAATAAAGTGAAAAAAACTTAAGTTTAAATAAATTAAAAATATTTAATATGCAGAACTACTTAATATTATTTAACCATATTCTTTTAAAAGGAAACCAGTATTAATTGCCACTAAGAATATTACTCCTGTATCACTGTAATTAGGTTTCTTAAAGACAAATTAGAATAGACACATCTAATCAAATGACCAAAAAGTTACATGCACTCACTTTGACACTTCCACTTTTAGTTCCATTTCATTCTTCTCTAATTCTAGAATCCGTTGTCTATCAGCATCACTTACTGTCTTGCTCACACTACCAGCTAGTTCATCTCTTAACATCTGTTCCACCTTCTGTGCTTCCAAGTTTATTTTGGTAAGCTAGGAAAAAATAACAAAAAAGAATATTAAGATATATCAGCTTTTGAAGGGATTTTCCCTTTATTGTCATTTTTTAAATTTATCTTTATTGTTAAAAGTATTACAGATGCCTCTTTCTCCTCCATCATGCACCCACCACCACCCCAAAAAGGTTTTCCTTTTAATTTAGCTTTAGCATACTGCAGTCCTCTTTACTTTGCATTAGTCCAGATACTAAATTGAGTGTGAGGTGTTAAGACTAGATTGAAAAGGGTAAAGAGGGGAAGAGTCAGAAACAAATTATGCAAACTCTGATTATATACCAACCCACATAAAGTCATTTATATTAGGCAGCTCACAACCCAATGATATCAGAATTTCTGATATTCTTAATTTTCTAGGAATGCTGTACATTTATTATATTTTACTTTAATTATATAACCTATAAAAAATCTAAATGAGTTAAAGTCTTAATATATATTTAGTGACAATAAAATAAACAACACCATGCTTTAAAAATTATACTAATTCTCAAGGTAAAACAAATGTTACATGAATGCTACTTCATCATAAATTGCTGAATTTTTGTAAACTCTATTTATTGCCACCCACTTTAATTATTCTGAACATGTCAAAGAAGTCTAAAAACTTGTATTAGAATATAAAGTCTCTGAGAGCATGGATTGCTGTTTGCGGTATTTTGTTTCCTGCTATAACTCCTTATGCAGTATCTGGAATGAAATAGGCACTCAATAAATATTTGTCAAATGAAAGGGTGGAAAGGCATTTCATTATTAAGCAAATAAATTTTTCTGCATATTAAATCTAATCATGTAATGCTAGTGAGAAATAAAAACTCATTCACAAAAATATTTGCTTTCTTTATAAACATTTAAAAACATCTTTTATTTTTATCCATTACATAAAACACAAGCACTATATAAATATGCTACTTCAGAGATACAAACAAACCTCTTACATAATACAATGTCTACCATGACTAATTCCTTATTTTCCAATTACATGATAAAAACGATAGCATCGAACCTCAGCAAATTTGGTTTCCAATTCAAAATTACGTTCTTCCATTTGTTTTAATGAAGTCTTTATGTGTTCATACATTTTCTGAGAATGTTCAGCCCGCTGCCTTTCATTTAATTCCTTCATCTCTAGCATAGTGATTTTTTTTGAAATAGAAGCAATCTCACTGTTGGTTATTGATTTCTTTGTCTTATCCATGTTAGATTCATTTCCTGTATACAACAATATTTAAGTTACTCTTATGCTGTTCTTATCAAAATTATATTCTAGATATTTTAGACATTATGTTCAAGGGATAACACGAGGCTTTTAAATTATGACAGATCCAAATTCCAGTCATAGCTCTATTATTTTCTGTCTACCTGCTGCCTATCCCATTTAATCTCTCTGGAATTTAGGTTCTTCATCATTCAAATGATAACAAAAACTATTCCTCGCCCTAACCGGTTTGGCTCAGGTGATAGAGCTTCAACCAAGGACTGAAATGTCCCAGGTTAGATTCCAAAGAAGGGCACATACATTAGTTGCAGGTTCAATCCTTAGCCCTGGCTGGGGTGCTTGTGAGAGGCAACCAATTGATGTGTCTCTGCCATCAATGTTTCTTTCTCTGTCTCTCTCCCTCTCTCATACTCTCTAAAATCAACAGAAAAATATTCTCAAGTGAGCATTAAAGAAAAAATTCCTCATGGAATTATTGAAATGTAAAAGGTATACTGTAGATGGTGTCAGAGGCAGAGAATCAAAAAAGGGAAAATATGTGTATTTTGTAAACTAAAAGGAGAAAAACTGTACAAGAAACAACTCAATAAAACAATACTATTTTGTGAATATAAATGCAGTGACTTTATTTTAAAGTCTCATGGAGTCAAACTGAAAGTAAAATATGAAGCCATATAATTTAGGGGTCTCACCAAATATCTTCTTTAACTATGAGTATTACTTGGCCTTTATAAACATTGAATATCAAATATTTGAAATTATTGTACTGGTTATTAATCTCATCAATATTATAGATACATATATGCATATTTGTATATCTAAGATTATATAATACATATATGATATGGCTTGTCTTTGGACATAAAAGTCTGTGGTTAAATCAAATGAGAACAAAATAAAAAAAAATTTACCATGAGAAGTCATCACACAGGATTACCATTAGTTACTTAGTTGTTTTCTGAAAAGGAGAAAACTAATACTTTTGATTTGCATAACCCACATACTCCAGGAGAAAAAAACAACAACAAATTTGGTACAGTGTTTTATATTTTTGGAGAATCAATTAATAATATATTCAGGGAAATCAATTATTTTAAGAAACTAAGTAGTAATTCATAACACTAATAATAAGCTTGAGTTTTAGAAATGAATTTGCACAAAGACATATATTATTAAAAAAACAGTTTTTGCCGAAACCGGTTTGGCTCAGTGGATAGAGCGTCGGCCTGCAGACTGAAAGGTCCCAGGTTCGATTCCGGTCAAGGGCATGTACCTGGGTTGCGGGCACATCCCCAATAGGAGATGTGCAGGAGGCGGCTGATCGATGTTTCTCTCTCATCGATGTTTCCAACTCTCTATCTCTCTCCCTTCCTCTCTGTAAAAAATCAATAAAATATATTTATAAATAAATAAATAAATAAATAATAAAAAACAAAACAAAAAAAAAACAGTTTTGGTGTCTGCCTCAGTTTTTAAAAAGTACTTCATTTTGTCCTGTATGTATCTTTAAACAAATGAATTTAGAATAGCTACTGTATGCAGTGATCAAATAACTAACAGTAACAGTTACTGAAGAAGCTAAAAGTGTTAGTAAATCAGTCCAGGCAACCCTTAACACCATGAATGAAAGAAAAAAATGCTCTAACTATAAGTATACAAAGAAAATAAAACCCCTTCATCATTCATTTCTGTGCTAAACTATGCTAATGAAGAGAGGCAGATCACAGGGGCTGCAGCAGATTAGCCATGTGTACATTCTTGTGTTTGGAGTTTTCTTAGAGAGAGGGGGTAGTCCACAACAACCCATCATCAACAAACTCCTGGATAATAAAACCTAATAAAGTGACACTTTTAAACAAAGATATAACAACAGAAATTAAGAAAAGCTTTAAAACTTCCATGACATAAAGCCATGTATGGGAAAGATGAAGGTATTTGAAAATTAAGAAATTTCTAAAGATATTTAGACCTTATTAAAAAGAGATAGGGTAAAATAAACAGAAAATTTACTAACATTTTATGTAATACACTTTTTATATCTTAAATGGTATCTTCTGTCATGTAGAAGCTACATGGAAATCAATTCGCTTTAAATCTCTTAATGAATTGAAATTTACATTTCTAAAAGTAGCTTATTTTAGACTTCCCATTGTTAGGTCTCTGTAAACTATATATCTCAGTTACCAATATAATAACACAGCTCTTCTAGTATTTAGTAACAGAAAGTTTGAACAGCTTAGAGCTCTAAGGTCTAGAAAACAAAAACATGAAAAGACCTTAACCAAAGCAGCAAATTTATTTGAATATTATAAATCATAATGGTAGTGAGATAAAATGATTTAAATGCTATAAACTAAGATAACCTATTGAAAACTAATATGGAAACCCTAGCAGGAGCAATATTTTAATACCCCCTGAGACAATAATATCTGCTAGATATACATGAATGTTCACTGTAGCACTACAAGCAATAACAGAAATGAGAAAAGCTAGTGATGTAATCACTCGAAAACAGAAAGGTATTACATAAACATTTATAAGTATAATGAATAAAACATAGCAATAGTTTGACATCTACTAAATAAATATAGTGTATGTTTATTATAATTTAATGTGCAATATTTAAGTGTACACAAGGTTATACAAAAAATTACAATATAGTAGTGGAACTATGGGTAATATAAATTTAATTTTTTGATGCTATATAGTAAACTTTTATCTTAAAAATATCAAATGATCTATTCCTAATAAAATTTTATACATAGTGAAAGAACTCATATTACTCTCATTAAAATACAGGTATTTCAAAATTATCACCAGTATTCACTGTTAAATGGTTCAAAACAGAAAACGCTGTTTTTAACATATGATTTTATTTGAAACAAATCTAATTTTATAACTAAAAACCAAATTTTGGTAGAGTTTAGTCCAAGATATTATTCAACTGCCTGCTAAATTAAACTGTAACATAGAGAATTCACTTTTATCAAAATACTTCCTTTCCATGTGGTATAGAAAAAGAACTTTAAGTACAAAATATTCTCTATTAGATCTTAAATCATTTTATATTATTAGAGTCATAGCACTTACCTAATTTAGTTTCTTTTTCCCAGGCTTGTTCAATAGTGTGAAGTTTTTCCTTAGTAATCTCTAGTTCTTTATTTATAGACTCTATTTGCTCTTTTAGAGATGCATTTTCACACTGAATAAAACAGAAACATCATTGAGAAAATACATTATAATTCAGACTACTACCACAAAAATGACATTATCTCAACTTTATATAATATCTCCTAAAACTTACAATCCACTTTTTTAAAAATAAAATTAGAAGTTCTCACACATTAGGTTTATACATATTCTACATAATAAAACCCTAATATGCAAAAGGACCAAAGGGCGGAACGACCAGTCGCTATGATGTGCACTGATCACCAGGGGCAGATGCTTAATGCAGGAGCCGCCCGCTGGTGGTCAGTGCGCTCCCACAGGGGGAGCATCACTCAGCCTGAAGCCAGGCTCACAGCTGGCGAGCGCAGCAGTGGTGACTCTGCTGCAGGTGAGCGGTAAGGAGCGAGGGGTCCTGAACTGTGAGAGGGTGCAGGATGGCTGAGGGACCCCCCCCAACCCCCCCAGTGCATGAAATTTTGTGCACCAGGCCTCTAGTATAATATAAAACATTATTTTAAAATAATCAAAATCTTGTATATCAAATATGTGGCCCTAGAGCAGCCGTGGGCAAACTACGGCCCACGGGCCGGATCCAGCCCGTTTGAAATGAATAAAACTAAAAAAAAAAAAGACCGTACCCTTTTATGTAATGATGTTTACTTTGAATTTATATTAGTTCACACACACACTCCATCCATGCTTTTGTTCCGGCCCTCCGGTCCAGTTTAAGAACCCATTGTGGCCCTTGAGTCAAAAAGTTTGCCCACCCCTGCCCTAGAGGCTGCCATGTACCTTTGGTTAAGCTAGAATACTCACAGCTTCAAAACCTTCACACACTAGAGCTTTCTTCCCTCATTCACACAAATAGTCACCGAACATCCCTAGCATGTTATCAGTGACAGGTACTATATGTTAATGGTGAAGAGAAACAAAAAACATTTTGGCCTTCAAAGGCCTGACCTTTGGTGTCTGTGGATATGTATGTACGGCAGGAATTGGGAAGGATGTGTAAGATGGCAGACAGTAAACAGGTACGCAAACTAACAACGAATCATTTAAAATGTCAAGATCTAGAAAGGAACAAAGTATGGACCCAGGGAATAATAAAAGGAAGCATATCTAGACAGAGTGGATAAAGAAGGTATTAACCACTGAAGAGGTGGTTTTTAAGTTGAAACCGAAGACATGAGAAGGGGCCAGTCTTGACAAGAAAGCAGCCATAGAATGAAATGATATACTGGTGAACCCAAGTGCTCTAAAGCAGGAAAGAAAGATGTTGAAGTGCCAGAGGACTTGAGCATAGTGAGAAAAAAATAAGAGTGAAGAGTGGAATAAGATAAAGTTGGAAAAATAACAGGGTATATACACACAAAAAATAAAGAGAAAAAATTTGAAAAAATAGCCCAGCCTGTGTAGCTCAGTGGTTGAGCATCAACCCATGAATCAGTCACTGGATTAATTCCTGGTCAGGGCACATGCGGTCTCAATCCCCAGTAGGGGGAGTACAGGAGGCAGATGACTTATGTTTCTCTGTCGTCGAAGTTTCTATCTCTCTATCCCTCTCTCATCCTCTCTCTCTAAAATCAATAAAAATATACTTTAAAACAATCAAAATTTTAAAAAAAGAAAAGAAAAGAACAACAACAAAAAGATAACAGGGCATGGTATGTCAAGATGACGAACTGGAATTTAACTTAATAAATAAAAGGGAATCGTTTAAAATGTTAAGGAGGAAGTTTTAAACAATTCTGGAATGCAATGTAGAGAATAAAGGGGTAAACAGAAAAATCAGAAATTAGTCAGGAAGATACTATAAAGTCCAGATGAGTGATGATGCTGGTTTAGACTAGGGTAATAGCAGTAAAGAAGGAGAAAAGAGAACATACATGAATTAATTACATTTGGGAAATAAAAATGATAGCAAAAACAGTGACTAGAGAACAACTGTAAGGTATCTGCCTTTAACTAACTGAGCTCCTAATATGGCATATACATACTGAAACAGGAATGACTATGAGAAAAATAGACATCAGGAGTTCATTTTGGATACATTAAATGTGAGACCCCCTTGAAATATTAGGTGTAAAGTGGTAATTTCACACAGAAGACAGCTTTGAAGTCAGGATGGAGACATACAAGTAGAAGTTGTCTCATAGTCTATTTTAAGCTCATTTATTCTTTCTTTTAACGGATAAAATGCCTACTATATGCCAGGTATTTTACACACTAGACATCAATGGTAAACAAATCCCATCCTAGAATTTGCATCTTAGTGAAGCAGTTGGACAATAAGCTAACATATAACACAACTAGAGGCCCGATGCACGAAATTCATTCAAGGGGCTCTGCCCTTGCAGCCCCAGCTTTGTCCAGAAGGACGTCTGGAAGGTCATTTGGCTGTCCAGTCTAATTAGCATATTATGTTTTTATTATTATAGATGTCAGGTCAAAAGATTTATGAAGAACATTAAAGTAGAATAATGAGATTTTTTTTATAAAGGGGATGTTATGATAAAAGAATAAACTTGCCTTTTGGTAACATGCACAATTAAAACCCTATTCTAGATATTGTAAATACACAGGAGAAAAACAAACAAGGGCTTAGGGTATTTTAAAACCCCTTCCCCGGCAGAAACGTGTATACTCGTTTTCACAAAATGTTCTTTTTCAGTCGTCGACGAGTATACTAAGAAAATATGGTAAAAAAATATGGTTTATAGGAAGACGAGTTACAAACTGTTTTCATAACCAGCATCAAAAATACTATATAGAACCAAAATAAAAAAATTAGTCTGAAAAAGAAACGTTTATAACAAAAAAATTGTTGGGGAAGGGGTTAAATTCTACCCTTTTATTTCCATACTCTTTCAAAGTAAAACTCTGGTCTTGCTCCAGAGCCCATTTTCACCCCCACCGTGGTATTGCAACTTCACTTATTACCATTCCAATCTCTAATCTGGTCATTAGTCATTCTCTCCTTATTGGCTCTAAAGTTTATTTTCCTCTCCCTTCAAATTTCACTGGTCTCATTAAAAAAAAATTGATAAAACAAATCCTCCTCTTGATTCTTATTCAATACATATTTATTTCTCTTCTATTATCAGACTTCCAATTCTTCCATTGCGTAATTCAGTTTTTGTACTTTCTAATCACCTACCCTTTTGTTTAAAATTTGGAAATTCAATTTTAATTACCTTTACTTTAATGTATCTTTACTCTTAAAAGACAAAGGTGATTTCTTAGTCACCATATATGATGATCTTTGCACCATGGCTCTATACTATTAATTACCGTCTGAGGTTAACATTTACTAGCTCTAACTCTGTGCCAAATACGAAATACTAAATACACACATGAATTAAGCAGAGATTCTGATATCAAGAGGCTACTATTCCAAGAGGGAGGCAGGCATAGAAATACATACAATATGAGTGATAAACAGCAGAACTAGGTACAAGATATAGAACTAATATAGACAGGGGGAGGGAATTTGTTCTATGAAGAAGAATACTTCAGAGAAAAGGAGTCTGAACAAAGTTTTGAAACATGAATAGAAGTACACTGAGCAGGTGAACTGGGAGAGGGGAAGGGATTTCTAGATAAAGGTAAGAGCATATACAAAAGAATATATGTAAGAAAAAACACCGTGTTGCAAAAAACTGGTAGTTCAGTTTCTAAAACATACATAATGAAACTCCTTAGAGCAGTGGTTTTCAACCTTCTGGCCTTTTAAATATAGCTCCTCATATTGTGACCCAACCATAAAATTATTTTCATTGCTACTTCATAACTGTAACGTTGCTACTGTTATGTATCATAATGTAAATATCTGATATGCAGGATGGTCTTAGGCGACCCCTGTGAAAGGGCTGTTCGACCGCCAAAGGGGTCGCAATCCACAGGTTGAGAACTGCTGCCTTAGAGTGTTATAGGAGATGAAGAGAAGTAAATGAAGGCTAATCACAAAAGGAGGCTGACTTTTATTCTTTATGTGAATGGTAGCTTTGAAAGGTTTTAAGCAAGGGAGTGACATAGTCAGATTCGTGTTGAGAATTATCATTCTAGTGACAGTAGGAAGGATGTAACACTGGAGACAGGGATATGAGTAATGACTACCACAATAAAGATAATAAAGAAAAAAAGACATCACCAATAAGGATAAATATATGTTCAGAATTATAACAGATATGAGGAAAGGGATATAATACAAATATAATTTTTTAAAAAAATTTTGAGAAAGGTTCAGTGGATCTGCACATTGAAGGCTCCCAGGTTCGATTCCAGTCAAGGGCACATGCCAAGTTGTGGACTCAATCCCCAATGGAGGGCATGCAGGAGGCATCTGATTAATGATTCTCCTCATTAATGTTTCTCTCCCTCCCTAAAATCAGTAAAAATATATTTTTTAAAAAATAGGAGCCACTTGGCCTGGAGCTCAAATCCCTTCTAGTATTACCTACAACAATCAAGGCTTAACTACAACAAGACTGCGCACAAAGACCACTAGGGGGTGCACCAAGAAAACAAAAAAAATGCAGAGACAAAGAAACAGGACACAAATGTCAGAAATGGAAGATATAGAGCTCAAAACCACACTTTTAAGGTCTTTCAATAATTTTCTAAAAACTGCCGATAAATGTAGTGAGATCCTCAAGAAATCTAATGAGACCCTCGATGTTGTGATAAAGAACCAACTAGAAATTAAGCATACACTGACTGAAATAAAGAATATTATACAGACTCCCAACAGCAGACCAGAGGAGTGCAAGAATCAAGTCAAAGATTTGAAATGCGAAGAAGCAAAAAACACCCAACCAAAAAAGCAAAATGAAGTTTGGCCTG